GACCATGAGCACGCGGTGGACGTCTCCAGACATCGCCCCCTGTGTGTGTAGGTCGCTGATCTCGCCCCTCAATTCGCCCGCGCCTTTTCCCAGCTTTTTGGCGACAGACTCCAATCGCTCGTTGTCCAGCGGGCGCTGCTTGACCCATGAAAGCCCGTTGACAATGGGGTGTTCTTGTAGTGGCGCGACGAGGCCTGACGCGATCTTCTTGTCGCGGTAGGCGAACCCGGCGAAGCCGAGGACGTCGGGGCGGCACTTGAAGCACTTTGCGAGAAGTATTGTGGCAGGGCTGCCCTCGCTCAGGGAGTCTTGCATTTTCTCGAAAAATGAAACTTGTAGCCCCAAGTGTTCTGCGTACCGGGACTGCACTGTTGGCGGGGGCTGCTTGGGATCGCCCACGAGGACGATGCGGGCGCCACAGTCGACCATGATGCCGATGGAGATGGCAGCAGAGACCTCGTTGACCTGGCCCGCCTCGTCGATGATACCGAGGATCAACTTGGGTGCGTTGGGCTGGTCGAGCCTCCTGAAGCCTTCGTGGGTCGCGATGATAATGCTGCATTTGCTGCAGAGGTCGTCTCTGAACTTTCGCCAGCTCTTGCTCTTGTTGGACCTGTTGGGCTCGGTGTTCCAAGCACGTCGATAGTGACTGGTGGCGGACAACTTGCGCGAGCGCCAGGGTGCGCGATGCCTTCGTCCTCTGCAAGTCGTACAGCGCAGCTCGGGCATTGCGGAAAGTGTTCGAGGCGGCCCTCTCTGCGCGCTGTCTCGAGGGCGACGGCTGTTTGGTCTGCTGCTGTGTTGGGGCCAGCGACGGCGAGAACAGTGGAACCGAGTCCCGCGACATGTTCCCAGAGCCTGGCTAGTGCAGCGGCGAAACGCGTCTTCCCTGTGCCAGGTGGGCCTTGCACCGCCGCGGCGAGATGTTTGACGGATGGGCGGAGAGCCTGCGTGTGGTCATCGGTGAGGTCATGCGCTGCAATGACCCCTTCGATGGTGTCCTCAGCGGGCGCGTTGTTGGCACGCTGCCGCGCCGAATTCGTCGTCCGCGATCGGTTTCATCGCGTCCGGCGTGCTCGCAGGGTCGCCAAACTGGTCAGGGTCGAGCAACTGGCCCCCGAGCGTTGCGCGACTTCGGAGGCGCAGAAAGCGTCCGCTTAGTGCGCTCCTGTAGGTGTCGTTGGAACATTGTTTCTTCCTGTTGTCGTCTGTCGCAAAGGCCAGCGTGCGTGGCAACGCAGCAAGCGTGGCCCCCCATAGATCGTCCCGGTGTACATTGGAGTGGTACATGTTCGTCAGGGCGTGTTTTACCTTCTTTTCGCGCTGGATCGCACCGGGCGCGATGTCGACGCGGTAGCGAGGCGCACCTGTCTTTTCAGGCAGGGGCGCAACAGCAGAGTTGCTGTGCAGTGGCCCGTCGACCTTGTCGTGCTCGACCAGAAAAACCATTGGTTGGGTAGGCGCGAGAACGCGGATGGAACCCCCGCTTGTCGTCTGGGATGACCCGCCGGGGGAAGCGCGGGAATACAACGCGGAGACAAGCGATTTCGTCGGTGTTGGGTCCTTTGTGTGACCTCGGCGCCGCTCGTACTCCTTCCTCCCCGCGTTCTGTTGTCGGCTGCCACTCGGTGTTCCAGCTGGCCGCGTAGTAGTCCGTGGCTTCGCTTTCTCCGATCCGGCCCCCCATTTTGCAATCCGGAATGAGCCAGCGTCGCCTCGCTGGTGTCACCAATTCTAGGCGAGCGTCTGAGGCGCAGGTGCGCTTGGCTTTCAAGTCCCTACGAGTCTTGGTCTTTCCGTCGTAGTCTGGGTCCAAATTGGCGCGCATTTCAACTTGACTCATCCGGGGGAGTTTGGCGACGTGTTCCGTGTTCCTTGACGCCAGTTGCCCAGGTGTTGGGCAGAGCGGCTCCACTGGGGGCCCTTCCGATGGAAATCGAAAGGATGACCGCCTGCCTACCGTGATTCCACCGGGAACTGTGAATTTCCTTGATTTCAGTAGCAACATCCCGTCCGCGACCCGTAGTAACCGCGGTCTCTGGCTCCTCGTTGCTTGTGGCGCCCGGTGCGGTGAGGGGATTGAGCGGCACGCTTGTCCTGATCTGCCCTGTGTCCGGGAGACTGGCCGGCTGGGTGCGGCGCCAGGTGCGCCGCGGGGACTAGGGCCAGCAGCGCTCGCAGCGGCGCCTGGGCTGCCAGCGCCGAGTACCGGGGCGGCCTCGTCCTGAGGGGGGGCGACTGGCAAGGCGCCGCCGGAGGGTCTGGTGGTGCCATTGCTTGCGCTGCCTTCTCGTTGTGAGCGGTGTCGTCGGCGGTCAACATTCTGGGTTCACTCGGTGCCCCGGTGTTCCGTGTTCGGGTATGCGCTGGTGCTCCAAGGGCCCAGGCACTGTTTGGTGGGCGGAAATGATCTTTGTTCCCGGTTGCTCCCAGTGGCGACAAATCTGTGGACTCTTGGTAGGTCGCGGGGTAGAGGACTGGGACGCGGCCCCAATCCGGCGGGAAGACCATTTCCTGGCCGCGGCACAACGGAACCCAAGGATCTGGTAGTCCCCGTTCCGCCCAGTCGGCTGGCGCGGCCTTCCACTCTGGCTCCCATTGGTCCCGCTTGAGGCGTGTGATGTGGTGCCCGTTGACCCTGTCCGTGCGCGTCGGTATCCACAGATTCCCAGCGGGGTCGAACTGACTCGGATCAGGCCAGCCGTCCTTCCATTGTTTGGTGATCATTTCCTTGTGGTGATATCAACAGAAGTGCGCTTTATCCCACGCGAGCATCTGGCAGGGCTCGCACAGCCATCCCCATGTCTGCATGTGTCCCCATGTCCGCATGCGCCCCCATGTCTGCATGTGTCCCCATGTCTGCATGTGCCCCCATCGTCGGCATGTTACGGAACTCGAACATGGGATGTCCAGTGGCGGTGTCCATTTGGGTCGTGCGGCCCCAGCGCCAGAAAGCGAGCCGAGACATGTGCTGTGCCGCTGCTGCCCCATACTGCTTCAGAGGTCATACCCGTTGTGGCAGCTAACCGCTGCAGCCTTAGGACCAGTAGCGAGGGCAGTGTAGGCGCGATCCCGGTGAGCCATCGCTGGCCAAGGCGGCAGCGGGCGGAGGGGGGAGGGGCCCGACCGCGCGCCCCCTGAGCCGAAACAGCTTACGGGCGCTCCAGTGCGCCCACCGCGGCTGCAGTGCCTGCAGTGTCCAGGAGGTCCACCTGTGAGGCTGTGAGGCAGGAAAGAGAGGAGGAAGAGGAGGGCGGCGGAGGCACGGTGGAAGAGGATGGCGGTTGCGTTTTGGCCAGCTTCGTGCAGCTTGTGGGCCCAGAAGACGCCCAGTGTTGCAAGGCGGTCGGCAGCTCTATTGAGACGTCTTAGCACGGCCTGCCAGGTCAGTGCCCACCCGGCGTCCTCAGCGGAACGAAGGCCTGTTTCCATTTGTTGGCAAAGCGTGAGACGTCTGTACCTGGCTGTGCCTGCCCCTCATCTGATGGCACCAGAATTATCGCAAACCACGCGTGTTCTCTGCCCGCGACACGCTGTGAAGCTTAGAAGTGATAGCCGTGCTCTGCATCTCGCCATTTCGGCCGCTTGTGCGCTATCAGAGCTGGGTAGGGCTACGATGCGAATTCCGACGAGATCGGGGCGTCCAGTCTCTGGGTCGTGATACCAAAGCGTGGCGCCGCCTCCAACGACCTTGTGTTCACCGAGTGTGCGCGCGCCGCCGTCACTGGTGACCTCGTACGGCCACAAGGTGGAGTCGGGGTTAGGGAAGGAAGAGTGGCTGACAATGACCTCTACTTCCCGCTCGAGGTTTTGCGTGGCATGGAGTGTGCTGACGCGTGTGTCGCAAAGGCGGCAGTACCAGCGCGTCCACTCGGCTGCAGGCCTGGGATCAGTGCGTGGGCATGGGAACCAGCCAGGCCCGGGTAAAACACAGCCCGCTCTGGGATGATGTGCATGCAGGGTAGCAAGGTGCTCGCCGGAGGCTGCTGCGCGGCTAAGGACAGGCAACCTCCTGATTTCACCTCCCGCCCGTTCCGCACTGCAGTTGGCGCGCGGAGTAGCAGAGCTGTGCGTCGCCGGATTTTCCTTCGGTTTTGAAGGATTTTGACATTTGCTTCTTTTCGGCCTTCCAACGGCCCGAGACGGCCCAAAAGCCCCCAAAGATCGCCCCCAAACCCAAGAGGCCACCAAGATGGCTCCAGAACGGCCCAAGAGGCCCACAAGACGGCCCCAAGAGGCCCCCACTTGATTCATGACAAGGGTACCTGGCGTGCTGAATCCTTTCGCTGTTGGCTCTTTTTCCAAAACGAACTCCCCATTGGGTTGCGGCCACGCCCGCTGGGGTCCCGGAATGGCCGGGAAAGGGTACCCAAAGGTCCAAGAGGCTCCCAGGAAGCTCCCAGGAAGCTCCAAGAGTGTCCCCACAGGCTCACAAAATGCCCCCTCCTCCTCCTCTTCCTCCTCCTCCTCCTCCTCCGCCTCCTCTTGATCTTCCCCGCCTTCCTCCCCCAAGTGTTCCCCGAAGGGTTTCCACAACGGTTGGGGGAACATATGGCCCGATACCTTGGCAGAGCTTTTGCCACAACGCCCGGCCACATGGGCGATTCTAGAAGGCTGGGGGCGGCGGTGATTCGAAGTAGGCGTCTTCGATAACGCCAACGTTACAATATGCGCTGATGATTCCTATCCGCCCTCACATGCTTTACCCAGATGCACCAAGGCAGCGCCGCCGAGATGTACCGACGCGACTCTGTTATATCCCATTATGATAGAGAGGGCGACGGCGGCAAGGGGGCGAAGCACTTACATATATATATATATATATATATATATATACACACACACCTATATATATATATATATATATATATATATATATATATGTACATACATGAGTACATGAAAATACCTCTCCCAAGCCCATCCCTCCTAAAATATCATTCGCCCGCGTGAATTAATGTAGAAATCAGCGACGGCGTGCCACAAAGCTTTTCAGATAC